ACCATAAAGAGATATTTCCTGAAATATTAGTTGCTATTTTCTTTCTTTCTCTCTCTTTCTTCTTTCTTCCTTCCTCCCTCCCTCCCTTCATTTTTCTTTCTTTCCTCATTTCTGTCTTTCTTTACATGTGTATGGTTATTTTTACCGCATGTATATCTGTGAACCACAAGTATGCCTGGTGCACACAGAAACCAGAAGGTACCATTGGATCCCTGGGAAATGAAATCACAGATTGCTTGTGAGCTGCCGTGGGTGTCCTGGGAGCACAACCTCAGTCCTCTACAAGAGCAATCATTGCTCTTACCCACTGAGCCATCTCTCCAGCACTCCCAGGTGGATATTTGCAGAGGCAAATATTACTGTAGATGGCAGAGGTGTGTTTGGCAGAACTAGGTTAGGGATTTTGGACTTTAACATTTTCTATATGAGACGATTGTTACTCATACCAAGACCTAAGGCCAATCTCTGAAAGGATTACTTCTCTAAGAAGCACAATGAGGTATGATGAGAGACAGATGTAAAGTTGTTTGAAATAGTGACTTCCTGGGCAGAGAGAGTCCTGAGTTAGATGCAGGGTCCATTGGAAGGAAGAAAGAAAAGCCCTGTCCTTTGCCTTTATGGAGTAGTGGCAGCAGAATTCCAGATAACACATGATTTCCTGTCCAGAAGCCTGGTTGCAGAGTCCTGGAATTTTGCACAAATTCTCCTGTGGCAGGTAGTTTAGTTCTAGAGCCAAATCTAACTATCCATTTGTTTTCACTTCCTGGGACAGACATCCCCTGAAGTTGCTGATGACCAAGATTAACATCTCTGGAAAACAGCTCCTCTCCATCCACAGAAACCTGAGAAAGTCTCTTAGGTGAAGACACTGTATACAAGGTTGTACACAGACAGCTTGTCTGTCACCCATGGCCTGTGTGAGGCAGATCTACACATTGAGGTTTCTGTGTCTCAGTTTCCCAATGATAGCACACTCGGTAAGTGAATGTTGCCATGGTGATAAGGTAACCTAAAATGTGAACAAGGCCCTGACACTGGGACAGGACAGCAGTATGAATCAGCACTATCTGTTACTACGTGCCTGCAAGAGAGAATTGCCTAGACTTAATCCCTGAGGATGTGCAGTCATCAGGAAAATTTACACCCTCTGTCCCACCCCTTGGTGGCCCTGATTGTCTTGTGAAGACTCATAAGCCCATCAGAACCATTGGCTAATGTCCTGGGCACCAATGCTGCTTGAGTGTCTATGCTGAGACTCAGAAGGAGATGCCCAGGTGACTATTTGGTGCCCAAGCATTTTGTGGAATCTCCTGGAGTTGGAGTGAAGTAAGATTGTGATTCCTCTTCACATACAACACTAATAGCCTATATTGTTTGAGGAATCTCTTGGACTAACCTGACCAAGAATTTGAAAGGAGGTTTCTCATCCCTGGTTCTGGATTTCTATAAATCAATGGCTCTTGGTGTGGATCATTCTCATGCCAACTTCATTTAAAAATATGTGTATATGATGTAATTTTAGGTAAACGTAATATAATAATGTGAGTCCTTGTAATTTTTCAAATATCCTTAATGCTATATATCCCTCTTCTATCCTTCCTCCTCTGCATCGCACTCATTCACATCCACCGGTTAAGGACCCCCCTCCCTTTTTCCACTCCCCTTTCATAGCATCTGAACAATGCTGATCCTACCCCCAATGTCTCTTTTAACTTTCCTACTTCTCTAGGTATTCCAGAGACTATATCACTGTCTTCCTTGGTCTCAGTTACTCAGTCGTTATATTTTCCAGCTCCACTCATCTACCTGCAAGTTTTATGCTTTCTTTTTCCTTACAGCTGAATACTTTCACTGGGTCTATGCATCCCATTTTAACATAAACTGCATAATCGTCCCAGTAGATGCAGAAACATTCTTTGACAACATCTAGCATGTCTTCATGGAACAAGTCCTGGTGAGAGTAAATGATGGGAGGGGAATACATCGATATAACACAGGGTACACAGGACAAAGCCACAGTCGGGACATTTTAATTGTGCTGAAATGTGATTTTATTTGTATGTTAATAAACAAAGTTTGCCTGGAGGTCAGAGGTCACATAGTGAGGTCACATAGCGAGCCATAAGCAGAAGTCCCGTGGTGGTAGCACACGCCCTGAATCCAATCACATGACAGGCAGGGTCTCTGTGTGGTCAAGGACACAGCCAAGCCTGGTGACACGAGCCTTTAATCCCAGTACCAACCATAGAGACCTGGAGGTCCGTATAGACCAGACAGTGATGAGGAAGTCATGTGGCTGGGCCTAGAGCCAATGAGAAAGCAGAAGAGAAAGGGAATAAAAACACAGGTTACACAGGAAGAAGCTCTCCCTGGGGAAGCGACGAGGTGGTAAGGTAAGGTAGTCGTGGCTCTTCGCTAGTGCTCTGATCTCTTTGGCTGTTACCTCTGCATGTGGCTCTGTGTGTCTTATTTAATAAGGCTGTTTAGAAATTCGTCTACATGTGGCGCCCACATGGCAAGAATTCATTAAAACACCGTTGGTGGCCTTACAGGACAGAGGTTACAGGCCCCAGGCCTGGCCGGAGCTACAAGCGGTCTGGCCACATCCAGTCAGAGCAGCACGTGACCGGAGCTACCAGCTGCTACACACAGCTGGAGCTACTTGCGGCCAGATCACCAGCTCACGTGGCCGGAGCTTAGAGGGGCCAGAACTACAAGCAGCTCAGGCCCGAAACGGCTCAAGCCGGAGCACGTGACCGGACTTTAGCTTTTTTCTCCTCTTCTGGTAGATAGTAGATGTGCTCCCCCCCCCTCTCTGCAACCACGTTGTTTGTTCAGTTTCTGTGAAATCCTATGAGCCCAGGTTACTTAATTCTGTGGGTTTTCTTGTGATGTCCTTGACCTCTCTGAATCCCACAATCCTTCCTCCCTCTCTTCAGCAGGATTTCCTGAGCTCTGCCTCATGTTTGATCGTGGGTCTGCATCTGTTTCCACCAGTTGCTGCATGAAGCCTCTCTGATGACAATTGGGCTAGGCACCAATCTCTGAGTATAGCAGGATATCGCTAGGCATCATTACTTTGATTTTTCTCTACAGTCCTCGTTGGTTCCGTCCTAGGTCTCTGGGCCATCTAGCCTCTGGGTCCTGGCATTCTAGGCAGTGTCAGGGGTGGGCTAATCTCTTGGCATGGGTCTGAGGCTGGACCAGTCATTGGTTGGCCACTCCCACAATCTCTATGTCACCCTTACCTCAGCACATCCCATAGTCAGAACACAATGTAGGTCTAAGGTGATATAGCTCAGTTGGGGTCCAGACACCTCCATTAGAAGTCTTGCCTAGGCACAGGAAGTTGCCAGTTCTGTGTAGGATTCCACTATTGCCGGGAGTGTTAGCTGGGGTCATCCTTGTAGATTCCTGGGAGATTCCTTTGCACCAGGTTTCTACTGACCCTGAAATACCCCCTTCCCCATTGGTTCTTTCCGTACTCTCCCCCAAACCACCCCACCTGATTCCCGACCCCACCCCCACCTTGATTGGACATACTTTACAGCCAGTTTTCTGTAATTGTTAATCTCAGACCTTAGAAACTAATATCATATATATTGTTTTCAAGTCTGATCCTTAAACACATTAGAAAACTTACTCAGACTTTTGTAACTTATAAAAGCCATTTAGTTTCCCATTCTAAAGCCATTTATCCATATAATCTTTATACATCAATCTTTATGCATTAAATAATTTTTATATTTTTATACCTTATCTCCTTATCTTTACAGCAATTTTATTTTTAAAAACACTATAGTAGTATACATAGATTTCCCTTTATTATTTTTAAAATAAAATGAATTGGGAGGGCCAATTCACCTCCTTTTTTGGGGGGGGGGTTGTTCTTGGAGACAAGGTTTCTCTGTGTAGTTTTGGTTCCTGTCCTGGATCTCGCTCTGTAGACCAGGCTGGCCTCGAACTCACAGAGATCTGCCTGGCTTTGCCTCCCAAGTGCTGGGATTAAAGACATGTGCCACGGCAGCCCGGCTTACTTCCTTTTATTGTGAAGGAGTATTAACATTCAACAAATTTTGTTGTGATCATTTTAGGCTGCCATGGCTGAAGGTAGAAAGAGAGTAGTTCAACCTAGAAGATAGACCAGAAGTCCTGTATTGGATCTTCAAAGATCCATTTGATTATTAATACGGACTTAAAGACACCACAGAGATTAAAATATCCTCAAAATCTTTAACTGTCTGTATTTATGTATACATACACTGTCTCAACCAGATGTTTCATAAATATCTTTTGAGGAGAAGTTTCCATGTTTGAATCAAGATGCTAATTGGAATAGACCTCATCATCATCTGGTGAATTGCCTGCCTCTCAATCATCTTTTGGGCTACCAGGTCTCCCTCTGTATAGTTTGGCTCTATGCATCCTGTGTATTTGGTAGAAAGATGGGAACATTTGTGGTTTGCCACAATCTGGCCTTTGCTGTGGGTGTCCTGCCTGCTTTCCTGTCCCTGTGTTTCCTAATGTATCTAAGAATACATGGGAAGCAGCACCGTACATCCACCAGGGGGCGCTGTCTCCCAACAGCGGGGGAGGTTAATAGGTTAATGGTGGCTCCTTGGGTTCTTCTATTCACCAGTGGAGCAAAAAGAAAGGTACCTTTCTACCTGTACAATTTACAAAGAGAAGGAAAGACCAGGCGGTGGTAGTGCATGCCTTTAATCCCAGCACTCGGGAGGCAGAGCCAGGCGGATCTCTGTGAGTTCGAAGCCAATCTGGTCTAGAGAGCGAGTTCCAGGACAGCTACAAAAACAACATAGAGAAACCCTGTCTCGAAAAAAACAGAGAGTCAGAGAGAGAGAGAGAGAGAGAGAGAGAGAGAGAGAGAGAGAGAGAGAGAGAGAGAGAGAGAGAGAGAGAGAGAGAGAGAGAGAGAGAGAGTGAGAGAGAGAGAGAGAGCTGTCACCCTCTTTCACACCCTGCAGGGATGCTCACCTGGTCTCTTGCTGTCCTGTGTGTTCTTGCTGCTCTAGGCCTGGCCTAGAAATACCAACACGGCAGGAAAAACAGAAGCCACAAGAGCAGAAGCAGAGCTGGTGGCTCCACCAGTTTTCCTGGCTTGAGGTTCTGGAAGTCACAACAAAAGCTGAGTGATTGTACTCCACAGGGGCTTCCCGACCACGCCTCCCACTCTCTTAGGAGGGATGCTTGCCCTATTTTCTCACCAAGGAGTGTAGGGACCTCAATGTTCTTGCTGCGGTGTCTCAGGCGGCAGGTGAAGTGTGGTTCCTGTCCAGGAAGAACCCAAACAGACACCCAGGTCTGGTAGGTCCCATCTCCGCTGGGCAGGATGGTCCCAGGCCCAAAGGTATGCTGCTGTGCCGGCTTCCCATGCTGAAGCCAGGCCAGGATGGCCACAGCAGGATTCAGATTAAAAGCCCAGCATGTCAGGGTGATCCTGCCCAGTTTGTGCACTTTGCTGGTCACTGTCATGTTTGGGGAACCTGAGAGATGATAAAGCGGGTCAGTTAAGATGAGGACCTTTCAATCTCTGAATGGAGTGTCGCCCAGAAGAATCGTCTTGTTCACATTCACTGCCCGGCGCCCACTGGACGGCACAGCTCTCAGTGGTTATAGGACTGTGGGAGGCTGGGGCTCGGCTCCACTGGCCCCTGATGCTCTTGAGAGTCAGTCCCTTCTTTACATGCTGATGATGAGAGGACATGGTGTCCCTGCTGTCACGGGCCAGCAGTCCCTCTTTCCAGCACAGGTCACAGATGAACAACAGGCACTGAGAGGACAGAGGCTCAGTGTTTATAGGGGCCACAGATCAGACCGTGGTGGGCTGTGCCTCTTCTCTAGGACAAAGCCAGCTCCGCAGTCTCTAGGGGACAGGGGAGGGACTCTCTAAGTACAGTCAGCTGACTGTGGCCATGATTCTTTGTTCCTGGATTTATCCAAAAACTGATGACCAGTATCTTTCTTCCTCCACTAATATCCCAGGACAACCTCTATTTTCTGTTACAAGATTTATCTAAAGCTTTAAACATCACATTTCAGATCCCAGACAGGTCCATTATCATAACACTAGAAAGGTAGAGGCAGGTGGTAGGTGAATTATGAAACTCTGTTTTCTGAAAAAGACAAGCCAAATAAAAAATAAAAAGTTGATCTTTTAAATATTTTAGAATTGTTTACTTTATTTTATGTATATAAATGTTTTGCCTGCAAGAATGTACATGTACCATGTGTAACCTAGTGCTTACAAAAGTCATCAAAAGGTTTTGGATCCCCTAGAACTGGAGTGACAAATGATATTAAGCCCCCTAATGGATACTGGGCATTTACCCTGGGTCCTCTGCAAGAGCAACCAGTGCTCTTACCCACTGAGCCATCTGCCAAACCCCAACTTGGGGTGTGGGGATGGCAAAGACACAGGTTAGAAACAAAGCATGTCAGAGTGTGCCACCCCACTGCAGAACTGTGGTGGGTCACAGTCATCTCCTGCACACTGCTGAAAGACGAGGCAGAGCTCAGTGGGGCTGAGGACCCCAAAGGCCTTTCCTAGTGAGAACCTGAGGGCAGGAACAACCAGTTATTATATAGTGTCACCCTGTAGATGTTTTCTCCAGCCTCCTTTCCCTGGGAGACAGGCCACCTGTGGTCAGATGAGTATATGAGATTCACACACAGCTCCATTGGCCCTGACAGTCTATGGGTGTCAGCCCCCACCTACCTGGAGAACTTGAGAGCACATGAAAATCTCGCTGTCAGAGGCCAGCTGATCTGGCCTGTGATGCAGAAGACTTTGTAGACACTGATGGGACATGAGCTTCCCTGTTCCACAGGGACTGGACACCTGACCTCAGTGGACTGTAGCTCCTTATGCCACAGAAGAAAAGAAAGCCTGTTCTAAATGCTCTAAGGCACAGTGAGGGACCAGCCTTCCTAGGACAGGGAACTGACCGGGGACCTGATGGTTTGCCTAAGGCTTTAAGATTTCCCCTTGAAGATCCCTAGATGATCAGTGGTTTCTTCATCCTGACTGCCCTCTCACCACCCTGGGTTCTGTGGACACTCTTTGTGGGAGTCTCTGTGAACATGATGCCCAGCAGAGAATGTCGATCCATAATAGGCAAGAAGGAAGTCTGGTTCAACACTGAGCAGTAGCCAGTGTTAGTTTAAACTTTGAGAGTCTGATCCTGGGTAGTTTGATTTAAGTATATTTAAGTTCAGTACAATTGGCAAAGAAGATTCCTGGTGATGATTAACTTAATCCTGTGTGTGCACAAAGCTTAGGACATGACTACATCAAAAGTCTTGTAAGGTACCAGTGACATCATCCATCAAAATAGATTCTATAGGTTAACTGAAGAAATAGGCTCATGATAAACAAGTTCATGATGAAGGTCTAGAGGAGGATAGTGTTGTAGATTGAATGAGTCAAACAAGATTAAGATAAGGGACTTGGGGAGCCTGTGTGCCCTGATCATACAGATTGCTCAAAGATCAGAAGGCTCTTACCCTTGTCTCTCTGCTCCCAAATTCCTGGGTGAAAAACATCTCTCCCTTTGGAGAGACAACCCTTTGTGTTCAACATTCTCCTGATTCCCAGATGCTTATCAGTGAGCACAAGGACCCAAAGGCCCACTACTGCTCTGTGTTTTTGTCACAAGATTAAATTGAAGAAGAAGCACTGAACTTGATCTTCCTTAATCAAGACCAGAACAAGAGCAAAATGACTTTGACCCATGACACAGAATAGGTTGTGAACCAGCTCCAGGTGCAGAAGTCTCCCATCTCAGCTCTCCATCATGATGACCCCATCTAAGGGACAGGACTCCACACACCCAGTTGTCTCAGTTCTTCAAAGTAAGCATCCCAGAATGTAGGGCAATGGAGTGAAATCTATGGTTACTGATACTTGGGGACTTTTAGCTATGGACTCATGTCAGAGACACAAAAGCCTCCCCACTTAATGTGTACAACAGAGGCTCTGGAGGAGATTACTCACACTCTATTTGAGTGTCCCTTAGGCTATGTGATGCTTGTCTAATTTAGTGAGAACCCAGCACCTCATAAGCACTGTGGCAAGATGCAGACAGACACAGTGAATGGACCCATGCACCCATAGTCAGTACCTGTATCCATCAATTGGTTCCCCAAATAAATCGAATATCTCTGGAGACGGTCAGGACATATGCCATTCAGAAAAGTCTTAACTTGTTCCACACTGGGGCCATGCCTCTCCCAGAAGGTCTTGGATGAGTGTGCTGAAGGCATGGACACTTTCCACGTTTGGCTCTTCTGGTCAAAGGTGAGGAAGTCGCCCGGCGGTGGTGGCGCACGCCTTTAATCCCAGCACTCGGGAGGCAGAGCCAGGCGGATCTCTGTGAGTTCGAGGCCAGCCTGGACTACCAAGTGAGTTCCAGGAAAGGCGCAAAGCTACACAGAGAAACCCTGTCTCGAAAAACCAAAAAAAAAAAAAAAAAGGTGAGGAAGTCTTGCCCATCATAGCCCAAGCGCCAGAAGCTTCCAGTGTTGTTTCCTTGGGTTTCACAGCCGAAAGTTGCCTGAAGGGTGTGAATGCCTGGCCATACCAGGCAGAGACTTGTCACCTTATTTTTTAAGGACCTTATTTCCCTCTGGTCTTAAGGTGAGTTGGGCACATCCTGTGACCTCTCAGGATTCAGGTCCTGCATCCCTCACAGAAGCATCACTAGTTTATTCAATCATCCTAGCTATGTCCAGCCCCAACCCTGACTTTAGAGACCAGAATTGAATTATGTGCTTCTGTCTCTGCCTACTCACCTCCATGCTGGCCCTTCTGGGTCATGACCTCAGTCAGCATCCTCCTGAGTTGCTCCTCCTTCTCCTGCATGCCCTCAGTCTCTCTTGCCCAAATCTCAGCTCCTCCTTGTCCCTTGATCCTAGGCCCCCAAAGCTCTGCTCTTCTCCTGTAGCCATCATAGAGCAGGAAGAGCTCATTGTCAATGTATCCCTGGGCCCTGAATTGGGACTTCCTTGACACCTCCAGAGACAAGGCCATGAGGTCATAGTGCAGAGTATGGGTTCCTGAGAGAGGAAGAGAAAGATGACACAATTAACAAGTTGATGGTTTTCACAGTCAGCTCTGCCTTAAGGAATTGAGCTCAGACTGTACTGTGTTCCTGTGTGAGTGTGAGAAGCCAAGTGGAGTGTTTCGTTAGAGCATGAAAGAGAAAAGGAGTAGGAGAGTGAGAGTCAGAAAGACTGTAGTAGAGAGATGTAAAATGGCCTTCTGGTGTCTGACGGCCTTGGCACTACAGATCTATGGTGGTCTGTGTGTAGTGTGCTGCTACCCAGGGCCCTGGTGTTGTCTGGGCCTGGGCTGCTCCTGAGGGTATGTGTGTGTCTGTGGCCCTACAGCAGCCAGGGCCTGATTCAATATTTGTGGTTCCTGTTGCAACCGAAGTCTGTGTGGTTTCCTGAGTCTGATCAGCCAACCTGGACCATGTTGGTGCCCAAGGACCATCCATGCTGCAGCTGGCACCATGCAGATCTGAGTGGCCTGTACTGCTGCCAGTGTAATGGTGACAACCCAGCCAGAGCTGCTTCTGAAGGCCATGTCATGAGTGTGGCCCCACTGCAGCAAGGGTCTGTGTTGTGTTCAAGACTCCTGTTACCATGGACAGCCTTGCAGATACCTGAGTTCTGGGGACATGTTTGTGTCTGAGGGCCACAGTGTTGCTGGGGCCATGTCAATCTGAGTGGACTGCCCTGCCACCTGGGGCAATGGTGACATCCAGACATGGCTGCTGCTGAGGATCATGTCTGGGTCCATAGTCCAGCTGCACCTGGAGTCTGTGTTGATGTCTGTGGCCTGTGGGATCTCAGTGAGCCATAGGAATCTATGGGTGATGAAATCAGGTCAGGCTGAGCTGTCCCTGCCATTGGTGGGCCTGGGAAAACTGGCCCTGCCCCTCACTGGACACTGAGCAAGAGAGCCGGTCCCAACCCTCACGGGAGAACTGGCTCCACACCTGGGAGAGATGGCCTCACCGCTCACCGCAGCTGAGGGAGAAATGACTTTAATGTAATGGGCATAGGCTATAGGGTAAAAGGGCCAGACAAAGAAACACACCCTAACCCTGAAACCAGAGCCAAAAACCCACTGTGGCCCTGGAACCAGAGCCAGTGAAAGAAACACACCTTGGCCCTAAAAACAGAGCCAGAAGGTTAAGAAGAGCCAGTGAAAGAAACACACTTTGTCCCTGAAACCAGAGCCAAAGAAACATTCTCCGCCCCTGATCAGCTGAGCATGAAACCAACCAACCCCTGAGCATGAAATCAGCCAATCTCTGAGCTTGTCCAAGATGCACGATTGAAATCTGATCAATTCCCACCCTGAAAATCTTCACTGTGCATAAACTCTGCCGCCAAGAAGCCCTGTATAGGCCCAGTGCCTGTTCCTTGGGAGTTTGCCTTTTTCCACCTTGGCAGAGGCAGCCACTCGTCTGGATTCCTCCCTCCCAATAAATCTCTTAAATGAGTTTTGGGTGAAGATCTTTCGCTGGAATGGAGAAGCTCAGAGAAGTAACAACTTTAGAAGGAGCAGAAGCGAACTGCTATATTTCTTGAGGGGAGGGGTTCCCCCAGCAGAGTGGGGCAGAGAAGTAGCAATTTTCACTGGAGCAGAGAAGCAAGGGACATCTCTACAGGGAAACTCTCTTAGTAGAGTGGAGTAGAGATGAGCTGTAAAGAATTTCTGGGAGAGGACCAGGATTGCTACATTCCTGTGGGTAAACCATCCACCATCAGACCACAGCCATAGGTATAGCCTGGCTTCTGAAAGCCGGGATGCCTTTCCCTTCAGAGCTGTAAATACTTAAATAGGAGACCTGGCTCCTCTCCCTCACCTGAGGTGGGTGGCCTCTGTGGCCCAGACTGCCCAGTTCAGGTAGAACCCAGCCCCACAGCTGGCCCTTGGGTTGGCCCACCCTAACATCTGCCTATTCTAGGACCTGCTGGAGCTCCTGAAGTGACTGATCCTGTGGAAAGCTACTCGTGGGATCTCCATAACTCAGGGCTGCTGCAGGATATCCCAGGGGAGTTTCAGTGAGGTTGCAGTGATGAAGGTGTACCAGAAACCAGAGGCTTTGAAGCAGATCCATGACTCATTGCAATCAACATTTGCTAGTAAAGCTGATTGGACAAAGGAGTATAGTATGTGGTTCAAAATATTATAAGGGACTACTTCAAAAAATCTCTACTCCATGATGTTGGAAAATCTAAAAAATGGGACACATTTCTAGATTGAGTCAAACCACCAAAGCTAAACCATGAAGTGATCAATAGCCTAAATATAACCATAATAAAGGGGAGATTTTTAAAAAGTAATGATAATCCTTCTGAAAAAAAGCAAATGAACAAACAAACACACACACAATAAAACAGCCCAGGCCCATATGGATTCACAGCATAATTCTACTGTATTTTTAAAGAACATCTAGAGCCAATTCTTCTTAAATTAAAAAAAAGACACATAAAGAGCATTCTCAAACTTGATCTATGCCAGTATCAGTCTCATACACAAATCAAGTAAAGACACAGCAAAATCCCCAAATCACAGACCAGTATCCCTAATGAAATCACATGTAAAATCCTGAATAAAAAATACTTGAAAACCAAATACAGGTACATATTAAGAACATCCTCCACAATGATCAAATTGACTTTATTACAGAGACACAGGAATGGTTTAGCATATGTAAGTTAACAAATATTATAAAGCCTAGTCACGGGCTTGCAAACAGAAAAAAAATCACAGGATTGTACTAGAATGTTTTAAGGTGTGTTACTTTTGTTTATGTTGCATTTGTTTAACTCTGTGAAGCTGTGTTACTGTGCCTGTCTAAAACACCTGATGGTCTAATAAGGAACTGAATGGTCAATAGAGAGCAGGAGAAAGGATAGGCGGAACTGGCAGGCAGAGAGAACATATAGAGGGAGAAATCTGGAAAGGGGGATGGAGAGCAAGCCAGAAAAGGGGAGGACATGAAGGGCCAGCCACCCAGCTACACAGCCAACAATCCAGGATGTGAGAGTAAGATTTACAGAAGTAAGAGAACGGGAAAAGCCCTGGGGCAAAAGGTAGATGGGATAATTTAAGATAAGGAAAGCTGACTAGAAACTAAGCCAAGCTAAGGCCGGGCATTCATAAGTAATAATAAACCTGCATGTGTGAATTTATTTGGGAGCTGGGTGGTAGGCCACTAAAAAAAAGAGTAAAAAGCAGATAACAACATTACAGGATCATTTCCATAGTTCCAGAAAAATCCTTTGAAAAGATCAAGTGTGTATATAAAGAAAGTAGCAAAAAACATATGAAATACATGAAAGGACAAAGAATTTTACTGGAGTATTGATCCGAAGAAATAAGGAGCTGGAGCTAAGAGTGAGAGCATGCATGGGGCTGTGCATCCAGTCCCTACAACCACAGTGAAAAATCTAAAGAGTATATAAGATGGGAATGCCACTGAAGAAACCTGTAGCATCTGAAAGTTAGGACTCATCATGGGATTTGGAGCCGACCTGAGTGGATAGGCTCTATTATAGTGGCCAAATATATGGTGGGGTATGAACGATAGAGACAGAATGGTTCATGTTGTATGGATCGAGGCAGATCCAGAGAGGAGAAGGCAATGAGGAGTGTGCCGAGGTCAGTGGCCTGCTTACCACCCAGGGCCATGGTGATATCTGGACCTGAGCTGCCTGCAAGGGCCACGTCTGTGCCCATGGCCCAGCTGCAGTCATGGTCATGTCTGTGGTTCCTGTTACCACCAAAGCAGAGAGGATAGGGTTGTGCAGAGTGTGACCCACCCCTCACTGGCTGCAACAGTAGGAGAACTGGTCCTATCCCCAACCAGCTGTAGCACTGGAGAGAGCAGGTCCCTGCACCTCACCTGGGCATCACGACAGAGATGACTGTTCGTCGGGGAGCAGGTCAGCTGGCCCTGAGGGCATGAGAGTGGGAGACATGGTTCTGCCTCTCTCAACTGCCATGTGGTGGCATGGGCAAGGAAAAGATGCCCTCCCACATTCACCCCTCACCACTGGGGCCAGTGAGAGAGCTGACCCAGGCCCTCTCCAACGAGGGGGAGCAGGCCCTGCAGCTTATCTGGGCAAGACAATAGAGCTGACCCTGTTGATGGGGGTGTGGATGAGACACCTTAAGAAGGTAAGCATGATAAATCTGGCCCCACCTCTCATCTGCAATATGATGGTGTGGGCAAGGCAGAAAACCCCCCCCCGCATACCTCCTGCAGCCTGTGGCAAGTTGAAGAGCTGTCCCTGAGGTCATGAGGACCAGTGCACTGGCGTGACACTTCTCTCTGGCTGCAGTACTCAGGAGAGTAGGCCCTGCACCCTGCCTGGTCAACACAGTAGAGCTCCCCTCTTGGTGGGGGTCTGGTGTGCCAGCTCTGGGGGCATGAGTGTTGGAGAGATGGCCCCAGTACTAGCCTGTCATAGTGCAATCTGGGCAGAGAAGACATGCCTTCCCTTACTCCTCAACCCTTGCTGCCTGCGGCAGGCGAGAGGGCTGGCTCCTGGGTCATGAGAATACAATGGCTGGCCCTGCCCCTCCGTGGCTGCAGCACTTGAAAGAGTGGTCCCTACACCTCTCCTAGGCAACATAGTAGAGCTGGCCCTGGTGGTGGTGGTGTTGGCAAGCCAGCTTGGAAGACATGAGATGGACAACAGGCCTGGCTCCTTTCTGCTTACTACTACATAGGGTGAGCTAGCCAGGTTGGAGCTGGAGAGGCTACCCTGGTGTCCAGGATGAGAAAGATCTGGCAGGCTGAGCAAACCAGCAATCACCCAGGCCCAGACCCAGGGCTATGAGTTGGCCCATCTCATCATCCACCCCTTCTATGATCTGTGGGAGCGTGTGAAGGGGCCAGCCCTAAAGACCTGAAGTTGCATGATCTCCATGACACAGGACAACAACGGGATATCCAAAAGGAGCCCTAGTGAGCACCCGGTGTCAGTGGTATGGCAAACCCAGAAATCTCAAAACCAGATCAGTAACTCAT